TACTCTATCAAAAATTGATTATTATTAGTGATACAACATACACCTATCATAACTTACTCTTGCACTTCCTTCATCAAGTTTCTGTCACCACTTACCAGAAAAATACGTAAATGTAATCCTTTATTAAAATATGATTTTGGTTGTGCCTATTAATAAGTACGTCAACAATCCTTTTACTACTAAACTGACCCATTCATGAGTCCATTGTCCTGTTTTTCCATCACTAGTGTAATAGTATTGGGTGAGAGATTCATAATCTTCGTATCCATTTTTTATAGGCTACAGTAAAGTTGGATCATAAGTCAACTACACTGTGTGTATCTTACATCAATGATAAGGCTATCTTCAATATCACAACTCTTGGTGCCTTTCACAATGTGTTTTTTCTAAAAATATTATTGCATGAAGCATTTTAAGTACTAAATTCCTTAACTATTTTATATTCATCCCATTTAGCTGTTGATGTAACATGACCGATTTGTGCTGTGAGTTTCATTGTGTCCAAACACTTTAAAAGTAGTTGTACCTACAGTACATTGCAAGAAAGATTAGCATGGATTAATAGTGGTGAAGAAACTGTGAATTATATCAAGTTCACCATTAACATATTGTGTTGTACAGTGCACAATAATGTTTAGCATTATAATACTATAATTATTGATCAATAGAATTATTACTGACTTCAGGATCATCAACTTGAGATTTGATAGTATTAAGAATACTGTCGTTGAGTTGAGTATAAGCAAACATGCTTTTTGTAGCTTCAGATAAAGTCACTCGCCTACTGTAATATTTAGACATGAAATAATTGAACTTCAGTATGTATGTACCCATTTTTATCTTCAATCAATGGTGTTTTGTTTGATCTAACCAATATTCTTTTCAACCTGTAGTGTATAATAATGATAAAATGCAAACAAGCAAGCACTTACATTGTAGCAGCAGCTCTGTTCTTCTGTAAGCAATACAATTCTCGGTAATTGCTTTGACCAATTCTAAACAAATCATTGCATGTTTCTAAAGTCTGAAAATAATAATAAAAACATTAAAATTCTTATTATTCTGACATCTTTCTGAACACAAATATGTAATTCGTCATCATCACACCTCAAGACATGAACTTTGTTAAAAAATTCCCTGTAGAATTATTATACATAATTTAATTGTAGTAAGCTTTCTTTTTACCTCCATTTAAAAAAGGTGACATTCTTTCCCAATACTTCTGCATCTCTCATTGTACTATCAATCATACTAACATCTAGTCCACTCCTTTTATTAACTACAATCTGATGTATCATTAAATTACAGTAGTACATTTGAACTGTATCATACCTCATATAAAAATCTCATCTTTACGCTGTTCCTACATAATTTTAAATTCCTTTTTGTGTGAAATGCAAAAATAATTTACTTACTCCTACTCCTTGAATAAGTTCTTTGATGAATGTAACATCTTTAGGATCCAAATATTTTTCAAAAGAAGCCATTAAATCTTCATTATCTTCTAACATGTATTCAAACATCAGAACTGATGCTTCAGAAACATTCTATAAG